CTCATTCATTTGATTGAAGAAGCTAAATAAAAGAAAAAAACTTTTAGCTTGGCGCATGTCCAATGCAGTGCAATCAACAAGATATATTAGTTGATTTACTACTGTCTTTGCTAGCTAGGATCCGAATGCTAAATGATGCCCGAAGATCAAGAAACACGTTCATTTGGTTGCTTTTTTCGGTTTGCTACAAATCTTATGTCTAGACTCTAGAACTCCTAGCAAACTACCTCAACGTTTAGGCATTGAGGACAGTCCTTCCAACAGTGTTCCATTTGGACATGTTTATCCTTTACCCTCAATTAGGTTTTGTACCCTTGTCATGTAAGAGTGAAACAAGGAAAAAATATATACGCAAGAGTAACGTTTATGCTACTTTTCTTTAATTCTTTAAAGCAACTAATGTGAAAGAGATAAAAACAATACGGGAAGCAGGTGAAGAACTCTGATTTCAAATCTTCATTTCCTTATTTCTACTTGAATAGCAAAAGAACATAGCCACAGACGCCCAGAAATACCTATTTATTTAAGAAACTTCTCTGCTTTTCCTAGTCGGTTTTAGCCCCTATTTCATATGCAATCAGTAAAATTTCTCCATCTAATGTAATCTTCCCTTTTGTGCAGCTTAATCAAGATAGATTTAAAGAGCAGTAGTGCTGATATGGAGCCAAATCAAGGCAGTTCTATTGAATGCTGTCTGATCTGAATTTACCTACAAGTATATAGAACAGGTCAGCGTCTGTGTACATACTTAGCGTTGGAGGCAAGAGGACTTGGGGGAGATTTCAGGATTCATAGAATCATAATACCAGCTTGCAATTTACTGAAGTTGAAGTTGCTATTCCATTGTACTAGGAATTTCTGCAGTTGAACTAAACTTGGTCTATTCCAAAACATGGGCCATTTGGGTTTAGGTGCTTTTTGTGCACTGATTGTAAAACTTGATTTCGGGTATTAATATTTTGTTTTTTTTGGATATATTCTCACTAATTTCAAGTATTATTATGTTTTGCAATTTTTTATCTTCTCAATATGTAAAGTTGTGTAAGGAGGACTTTGCATATACAAGGACTTGGAATCTACTTTTCCAAACAGTTTTCCTAATACACTTTGTTGAACATCTTAGGCAGATTGGAATCAGAAAATTTATAGGGGAGGAAGATGAAATAAAGCTCATAGACATTTTGCAGCATGGGAAATCTTTGAAAAGATGACTCTGTATATAGTTATAGAATGACAAGTGTCGTACCTGTGTAATAATAATTACCTACTCAAAAAAATAAAAATTTGTACATAGCGGTGAGCAGGGTCGAATCCATAGGGACTGGAGATAATTCATTTCTTCCAGAGTCTGAAGTATGGGGGATTTTTGGAAAACATAAAATAATTAATTAATCAACTAATGAAACAACTAATAGAAATAAATAGGAATTAATCAATAACCAATACAACTCTAGCCAAATGTGCAACTTTTCAGACACGGTCCATTCAACTGATCATCAATGCAAAGATAATTCAATTACTAATTAATAGATTGGTTATAGTTATCATACACGCGATAAACAACCAGTGTTTCCTTACTTTTTCGATAGTTAAGGTACGACCATTAACTATTTCCCTAATCGAGAAATAATCCTAGGTACGACTATAGGATTTAATTTCTCGATTGCAATAAGAATTAGAAAAACCCAACCCTAACTAACAAACACGTTATGACGGTTCGTTTAATTTAGATCATACGTTTTCCTAACATGAAACGAATTATGCTAGTTGCCACTGGTATTAATCAATTGAACAATTACGGATTCAATCAATTAATCTGGCAGAAGATTATTAGATTAATTCGAATATCAGGCACTTGACATTCAAATAACATAACAAGCATAAGAAGTTAAATCAGAAAATGCACAAATACCAATGAATAAAAGAAATAAGTAAAATAATTCGATCTCACAGATGTTTGGAACAAAGTTCTCAAATTGACATTCGACTAGAAAACAAAGATTTAGCTACACATTCTCAGGGGATATCCGCATGACTCCATCGATAACCATTGGTTTTTCCCTAAAGACTCACTAAATAAGAGACTAACGGCCGTCTCCTTTTACTTGTTCCCTCCAAGGTAGTAATCACGAGGGATTCCGGCCTTTTTTCTCTCTTTGTTTCCTAATTGAAGTCTACTACTTCGGCTGTCCATTGGCCAACTAAAAATAGAATTCTAATTGCAAAAGGAAACTTCTCCAACTAATGCTAATTGTTCCCTAATAAAACATCTAATAAAAAGTGGTAGTTTCCTAATTTTCATCCAATACTCCTCGTAAACTCCATCTTGAATTGAAAAACTCTTGAAAAATCACCTCTTTTATTACTTTTTGCTCCACCTTCCTACAATTGACACAAAATACCAAATATAAGTAAAATCAAGCAATTAATATAATATTTGGTAATATAAATGAGGAAAATAATCATAGAATTAATGACAAAAATACAACCTATCATAGAACCTTTGAAGTTTTCATCAGAAGGTTGCAACAGCATATTGTCATTCAAAAAATGTTCCATGGATTGCCGATAGAGTTCCAAGATAACTGGACTGAATTAAGGAATCGGAAATACTGAGGTGACAAATATGTGTCCATTTGACTAGTTTAACTCTCTCTCTCTCTCTCTTATATTTTTTTTCTGCTTCTCCTTTTTGTGGTGTTCTCTTGATGAAATCTTCTTTTGTAATGACTTATTGAAGTTGCGATTTCTTGGATGGTTAATGAGCTAAAAAAAATTTGGATTGCCAATTGATTTCAAGCACTTCCTATTGTATGGCTCAAGATGTTGAAAGAGCTGGATGTTAATGTATTACTTTGCTAGCAATTATTTTTAGCTAACCAAAGCTTTTGTATGTTTTCTATTGAATGTTTATCAAAGTAGCAAAATGGGGTTTGTTGGCACCAAGTGATATTCCAAAAAGCTATCAAATAGCAGGGCTTATGAGTTTAAATTTAATGAGCAGCTACGTTGGTCATGATTCATTAAAAAAAAAAATTTTGCCAAACAATTTGATACCTATAAGAACCTGGAAAATGTACAACAGACACATGAGAAGCCAAATTGAAGCTATTTGCAGCTAAATTTTCTAATAAAACCACCCAGTAATTTGCTCAGAGAATTAAGATTAGCATGCTAAAATGGGATTAAGAAATGTTCATAACAGCATTGGAGAGGAACATTTTCCCACCAAACAGTTAGGCAATAATCAATTATCACTTATTAGAGAGAAAACTTTCCTGGCCTAAAATGTTTTGCTGGTACGCGGGGCATTGCAGATTTGTCAAAAGACTCCTTGCTAATTCTATACTATTGGCGAGGAAGCGCCATTTTTCCTAGCAAAACACCTTGACTATTTGCAAGGAACTACTGGTTTTTGTGGGGAGTTTTTAACTTTAGTGGTGAGAAAAGTTTTTCTCGCCATAGTATTTGAGCTATTAGTGAGGAGGTCAACCCTTGCTATTGATCTGTTTCATTAGCGAGAAAAGCAGCAGCATCCTCACTAATAACTTTTAGCGACGAGCATCTAGCAAGAAACTTGGCGAGGAAGCATTTTTCTCGCTGAAATTAATTGGCAAGGAAGTCAAAACTTTTGGCGTGGACTTTTGCTCCTCGCCAAATCCCTTTTCTGTTGCAGTGATATAGTATCCCTCTTTATATCTATCTTTACTAGATATAGACTTGTTCAATGTTGTTGGTTCTTTTAATTTACATTTGGACACGCAAAAAAACTAATAATAATAAAGAACTTCAAAGGAAGCTTGGTACTAGAAGAAACTATCCGTTGCTGGTCCACAAGAATTAAAAAAAAAAAACATGAAAGCTTACAAAACACGCATACGTTATAGTTCTTATAACAAATCAATTAATTAAGAAGTCTTAGATATGAAATGTCAACAATACTAATTAAGTCAGATGAAATGTCAACAATACTAACTTGGTCTTAGATATGAAATGTCAACAATACTAACTTGGTCCCCATATTAAAGTCAGATGAAATGTCAAATATGGAAGAAAAAAAAAAAAAGCAACTCATAAAGCTGGACGAAGCAAGTTAAACTATCAGACTGATTTCTAAGCAAAACCCGAAATGCTAGAAGTCTTGTTAGCTAATGTTAGAGCTGGTTTTAACGATTCATAAGGTTTATGAACTAAGTGATAAGAAGGAATAAATTCTACTAGACCTAATAAATGTCTAGTTCAAATTAATAGCAAACCAATTACTAGACGCCTTGGTAACCGTTAAAATCAATCATTGAGATTTAATATGAGGGGTTACAAAACTCATGCTTAGGAAATAAATGCAATGTAATTAATAATAATCCACTAGGAGGTGAACAAGTAAGGGAATTTTGGTGTCGAATAGCTTTGAGAATTAGCTACTATAATTTATTGAATTGGGAGACAAATTAACATGTGGAGTTATTAATAAGTGATAGTATTAAATATTTTTAAAATTTAAAGTATAGTTCGTAAAGTATAATGTATCAAGAATTTATTACGTATTTTTATAGTTTAGTTGAAAAGTATGAATATTTTTGAAATATATGAACTACACAAGCTTTTATTGTGGTATACTTTTAAATGTGTATTGTACAAGTGTAATAGAAGCCTTTACTAACTAGGAAAATTCGTATAAATGAAGCATTTCCACCAAAAAAATCTTGAACGAAGATAAAATTCGTATAAATAAAAAAAAAAACAACATTCAGATCTCCAAATGGCATTCAATTCAAAATCTTGATGGCATCCAAAATATCCTTTTTTGAGGGACTTTGTTTCCTTTCTCAGGAGCAGGATTGGGTACGTTTCACTCCGTCGATGCTGAATTCTTTCACATTGTAATGGCATGGCACGATGAAGAAGCACATATATACATATATTGAACATTCTGCACGTCTTGTATCAATCACACTAATTCTAGCAGGTCCAAGGTACAGAAGTTTATGATGTAACTGAGATAGAGATCATCAATTGTAGTAGATGATCAAATAGATTTATTTATTCAACACGACAACAACATAAGAAGAGAGCACTCGAACTGAGTACTCATTACATGCTTCCCCTGTTGATTCTACACCAATTCAAAGGGAAGCCGCATAAGTCTTTTACACACATAGGAAATCAACCATTAAAAGCAAACACAACATAACATATTAAGGTAATAATATAGGTGTCATGGATCCTGTGTCACGCCCTTATTTATTTAGCATTAATTTTTAACCTCATCTCCGGATGTAGCTTCAGTAGGTTGACAGCATCTTTGGCAATGTCCATGGTACCAGTGGCAGCAACCATGTCTGCAAGTCTCCGCAGCAGGTGGACAGCATCTTTGGCAATGTCCATGGTACCAGTGGCAGCAACCATGTCTGCACCGATGTTCAGGGGTCTCCTCAGCAGGTGGACAGCATCTTTGGCAATGTCCATGGTACCAGCGGCAGCAACCATGTCTGCAACGATGTTCAGGGGTCTCCTCAGCAGGTGGACAGCATCTTTGGCAATGTCCATGGTACCAGCGGCAGCAACCATGTCTGCAACGATCTGCGGTTACGGTATCCTCATCTCCGGATGTGGCTTCAGGGGTCTCCTCGGCAGTTTGACAGCATCTTTGGCAGCGTCCATGGTACCAGTGGCAGCAACCATGTCTGCAACGATCTTCGCTTATGCTATCCTGATGAACCTCGCCTGAACTGGCATCGTGGACACCAGTGGTATTCACGCTCTTCTGATCTGTTTCAAGACACAAGGAGACATAAATATTTGGAGCTTTATCTTAAGCTGCGAACGTTAGGTGACTGGCTAGGCTGAAAATTTGCAAGATATATGCAAAGAAAAGAATACTATGGATTAAACAAAACAGTCTAGGCATATAAGATGGTGCGACTTGGATATGAATTATTTTGCTTTAAATTATAATTAGAAGCATTTAGTTTGGTTTTCGACGTTAGTTTAACCTTTGGTGCGACACTATGGAACGTGTATCCTTACAGCAATACTATAAGGATGCATGAAAAATCAGATGTGCCACTAACCATTGATAGAAGCAACCCAATTTACTTTTGCTAAACACTGAAAAAGATATTAGCACATTAATATGACTTGCTTGATAATATACAAATAGCCTTCCATAAAAATTCACATCCCAATAATGAGTCTCCAAATCTCCATTCATTTAAGTATTTAGGTGCAGCCAAAAAAAAAAGGAAGAAAGGAAAAAAAAAAAAAAAGGACCAGGCACCTGCAGCTGTTGCATCAGAGGAAATATGGAGCACAAGTGCAAAGAGAACACCAATAAGAAAGAGCAAATTTTTTGAAGATGCCATTTGATCACAACCTCACTCAAAATGTAAATAATGTGCCAAATTATTGATATCGAGTGATAAGTGCAGTGAGTTGCAGCCCTATTTATAGGAACTAGGAGGGGAACACCATGCCTTGCGTGGAATGAATATTTTAGGGTTAATTTCAAAAACCTCCCTTGAGGGTTTTCATAATTTCACTAGCACCCTTGTTATATCCAATAATACATTGAGCTCCCTTCTGATGTTGATCGGACCTAATGTTAATCTCATCAGGGGCAAATTGACCATAATGCCCTCACTAAAATAGCTTTTTTCAAGATTTTTAGAAGCACAATATAATCTTCCAATCTTACCAAGACACCATCAAAACCTGGTGCCAAAATTTAACAACTTTACTAAAAGTAATTTCTCTGTTGGTTGGTAAGCCTTGGAGACGAGCTTTCGGAGCTGAACTTTAAGCTCCGAAAATCTTTAATTGGGTGAAGGAAGATTGCTGCCAAAAGTGCGTTATCAGCTATATTCCTTGACATCTATAAAAGGTAAAAGGTGGAAACTTTTTTAATTGAATGGTATGGTACCATGAATAAACTCGTTAAGTTGATAAGATGAACATTCTGGCCATAAGATATGTTTAAAATGTAGCCAGTGGACATGACGAGTCATTTGAGGTCCACACCATGATATCTTGATGTTATATGAGCAATTTATGATGGATAATGCCATGCATTATTGTTCTTTCTATTATGTGAAAATGGATGAAATATACATAGCTGGTGAATTAAGTAGACTGTATCGATTTTGATATGTAAGTACGACTCTCTGATTGGTTGCTCATTTTTTGTCTTCTAGGACAAATCTCCCAAAATAAGTTTATATGGTGTTTCATTGCTGAATCACGAACATTCCTATAGTAAAAATTTTAGTCTTAAATCAGGTTGAACTAATTATATGGAGGGAAATTTTAGATGATAAGTGACTGATTCACTCCTCATTTTGTCATGTACTATCCCAAAAAAAAAAGGCTGGCTAATTAGTTTGTTAATAAGGACCTTATAAGATCACCTCCAAAAGTAAGTTGTTGTATTATCTCTTTGTCGAGTTTTTATCATGAACATTTTTTAGGGAAATTAATCTTCAATTAGCTTGGACTACATTGTCTTAAATTAGTTAAGTTTTTGCAGTAGAAAATAGAAATATGCTGTAGTACAAATTCAATTATCTAGTAATTAGATTACTATTTTCGATGCCTTTATCTGTTTACCACTAATTGAAATCCACCGTGAATGTTGAACAACTAAGATGGGAACTGTGCTCATGACATTATTGTGCGTTAATTTTTTTTTAGTTGCTATGTGGTCGATGAATTTCTATAACTGTATAAGGTTGATCGAAATAATAATTCACTTGGAGTACTCCAGGGTCAAACATATAGGAATGAGTTAATTTTTCCTACTTTAATTACTCTAATAAAAATAATAAAATTTAAATTTAGAGGGTTTTTAATCACTAATTACGAAATTAAATAAATAATTGATGGGTATTTTATATACGTGCAAGTTTAAAAAAAAACCGAATTACACCCGTTCACTGCAAATATACAAGTCAACTAGTAGTTTAGGGTATATCGGGTCGATCCCACAAGGAAGAGCGAACAATTACTGGTATTACTAAAGCTTTTTTATTATTTAGATTATTAATGAATTATAACAAGTAAAACCTACTGAACTTATGCAAGAAAATAACAAATGAAAGCTCCTTAGGTTGTGGTATCGCTAACTACTCATACAAGTGCTATACTTGGATCATTGAATACTGCTATCTAGGCTAGTTATGGTGTAATTTTCTCATGCATATGAAACCTACTTTCGTAGTGAATCAATTATACTCATAACTAATCCATACCTGCTCTCATGGTTATGAAATTAGTTACAAGTTCATTTCTTCAGTGAAATTACATGAAATTAATCACCAAAACCACATAGGTGAACCTCTACTTTCGTGAGTATACTTCCTATGTTTAGCACTTCTTGAACTAGTGTTAAATCTCAATTTTCATTGCAGAAACAACACCTTATATAATCACAATTAATAGTACCAGATTAATCATGATTTAAAGAGTTAAAGTGCTAAATAACTTGCTCAAATAATAGCAATCAAATAACCAAATAATAAACACTAACAATCATAGAAAGTTCAACCAAACCCAAGGTATAAACTTTAAAGACACATAAAAAACATAAAATCTAGAACTTGTATATTAACTAAACTTGGAATCAAGTACAAAAGATAAAGAGTTGGAAAGAAAAGTAACCCTTGTCACATGAGCTCTTCCCTTGCCTTCTTCATCTCCATCTACATCTTTGCCTAGCTAATAAACAAGTAGGATGAACTATACTACTCTATACTCAACTACTAAACTAATTGAACTAAGAAAAACTAGTGAGAACTACATTTTTGTGGAGTTTCTCTAACCTCCCAAAGTTATGAAAATGTTCTTCAAGGCTTCTCTTTATAGAGGAATTCTAGCTTATGGTGAGCTGTTAAAGTTGATGTAATTGCTTCATGGAATCACCAAAAGATGTTTCTTGACTTCTCCATACTTGCATGCTCAGTTTCAGCCGGATTTCTTGCAGATAAATTGGTCAAAATGCTTGTGTGAAAAGAGCACAAATTGCAGAGCCAGTTACGGAGCCGAAAGTAGCGATCCGAGGGCTAGATCCGAGCTCAGATCGCTCAAAATAGCCCCTCGGATAGCATTTTTCTTCATTTTTATTTTCACTATTCATTGGGATCCGAGCCCTGCTACAGTGGATCTGAGCCTGTATCCTATCGCCTCGGATCCACTTGTCCAGAAGATCAGACGAGGGCTCGGATCGTATTGGATCCGGGTTCGGATCGATTGCTCTGTTTTTTATCCACTTCAACTGATATTTTCTCAATGTTAGAGGCTGAACTAGCTCTTATGTAAAACATTAAAGTTGTATCTCTTTGAATTAGCTTTCCAATGCATCAAAAATCACCTAATTTGGAGCTCCGTGGACTGATAAATGAGGAAATTATCCTTGATTGGTCAGAAACTTGTTTCAGCTTCAACCATAGAAAATGTACTTCAATATTTCGACCTTTTGACTATGAAAACCACCGAACTGGACTTCAATGTCTTCATACCAAATGTAGATCTATCTCTTGTCTTCAAAATGGTATAAGAATCACCTCAATCCGATCATTGTCGCCCAAGATATCGCCAAAATACCACAAGGTGTCAAAGCTGTGAAACTCCTTTTCTTTAGAACTTGATTGCATTTCATCTCTTGCACTTCATATTCTCTTTTTATCACTTAAAACCATCATCAATCATCCAATTCTCTTCTCAATTTATGTCATTTGATGATTGAATCATTAAACCTACAAAAACATGAAGTTTTCACCATAAAAATCCATCGAAATGCAATTTTTAACACTTAAACCCCTAAATGCATATTTTCACTAGAATCTTAGTTAATTAACTATAAAACTAATTAAAACACACCAAAACTAACTAATAAAATACACTAAAAACACGTAAACTATGCACTTATCAATAATCAAATCAAATAAGATACAGGTGAGAAAACAATTAGCAAAAGACAAGAGTTTCAAATTTTGATTCATAATTGGAATCATTATCCAATTATTTTCTTAACAAGTCAAAGACGTATCACGTAAAGGTATTTTAATTATCTCTCGATACATCTAAATTGTGTCTAATGAAATCTCACATTGCTCTCGAGATCATAGGTATTTAATTAAACCCTTTAAGATTTTAGGTGATATGATTATGCCATACAAATCCTAACCCACATTCATAATTAGGTTAAGTAAGTTTATTTATCTAATATATGGTTGTATATCGCTTCTCAATTCAATACAAACCCTAAAAGCATATCTATAGTGGCCAAACATAAATATGTAATAAAGGCAAGATAGGTAAATCAAAGAAAAATTGAATAATTTATCTAGAACAAATAATCAAATCTCCTTCACAAAATCTTAAGTCTAGATATAAATTAGTTCAACATATTCATAGATAAATCCAAGAATTCAAATGAAAGACAAAATAAGAAGTTAAAAGTAAAGAAAACTTCTCAATTTTTCCCTGCTCCAATCTCCATCTTGAACTTTCTCTTTGATTCTTCAACACTTCCTTTGTAATCTCTCAAGAAACGAAGATATAAAAAGGATGAACTAATGTAATCTAAATGCTTTCTAACCTAAAAATATCCTAGAATGTCCTATTTATAGTCTCTCAAAGTTGCATCCGAAATGTGGTAGGAATAGGTCTTGAAAACTTACCAAAAATCGAGTTTGAATGGGTTTTCCAATAAAGTTCGGCCCGAAGACCGGCTCTAACTCTAGCCGCGAACTTGTTTCGATGATCAAAAATCAGAGTAAATTCTTAAATTGTGATGGAAAAAAAAAGTTGTTCTATAAGGGGGTAATTTTTGAAGCTAATTCTAGGATTATGGTCTTCACATTTGTGAAACGCGAGTTCAAAGACTTCGCATTTCACAAATGCGAGGTCAGTGTTTCAGGAAAAAAGAGAAAGGTTTTGGGAAAAAGTCAAAAACAACGAAGTAAGCTCGTATGCGCCAAATGCGAGCCGAGGTACCTCGCATTTCTCGAATGCGAGGTACTCAATCTGAAAAAAAGGCAGAGCTCCTAATTACGGCATTCAAATCTGTCTCCTAACCTGCAGAAATTGGAGCTCACTCTCTCTTCTCTTTTGCTGAGCTAGAGACCAGTCCAAGCTTCCAGGATCGGCAGACGAAATCCCTCACATCTTTCTCGTCGGAAGCTCTGCGCCATTGTAGAGCTTGGACCCCTGTTCGGAACCCATTTCTGCCAAGCTAGCCAGCTGCGCAAAATATAAATTACTATAATTTGTAGCTTATCACTGTGCTTCACGGCTTCGGAATATTTCACTGGCTCTGCAAAATGGTCTATTCAATTTGTTCATTCACCAAGATTTTTATGCTATTTCCATTCAAAAGCAATAGCATAATTAGCAATGGTCATGTGACA